TAGGGATTAGCCCTCAAGGGTCATGAGGCCCGGCCACATGGCTTTTAGAGCCACTGACAAGTTGTCAACACTCCTTCTGAGGAAAATGGAGACGTCAGCAGAGGCTGAAGCTTCAAGGATTTGGACAGGGCCTGGACATCTGTCTCTTATATCTGCTGGGACATCTGTCTCTGATATCTACTGGCCAAGCACCAGGGTGCTCCCCAGAGTGGGAGGGGATGGGCTTCTCTGCCATAGGGGCCTGATTCACTGTTCTGGGAAGACAGGCCATGATACGACTGATGAAACCTAAACTTACTCAGTGCACAACCTGCACAGCTGTATGCAGCAGCCCTGCCAGTACTCAATCAGAGATTGGTACCCCATCAGAGTCGGTGCTGGGCAAATGGATAAAAGAAGGAATGGCGCTCTTCTTACCCCTTCCGCCAATAATGGAAGGGATGATTGGCAGCCTTGACAAAGCAGGCCACATTTGGACGTGATGCAGCTCCAGGAAAGGCTCCTGAATGGAGAAGGAGTTGTGGCTCAGAAGGGTTATTTCCGGAAGCATGGCCCTCTGTGTTCCTCAGGTATGGGAGAGAATGTGGGATGATGTTGTACCAGGAAATAAACATTTGTTCCATCAGTGAATGAATGCCCGAAGGAACGAGCCGAGAGGCAGTAGGTGGTGATGAAGCAGGTCCTGGCGTCAGACAGCCAGGGTGACTTGGGATGGGATCCTTCTTTCACCGCTTACCAGTTGGGTTGCCTCTCTAGAACTAGCAAGTTACTTGTGCTGTCTGAGACTCTGTGTCCAAATTGGTAACATGGGAGTAATCTATGTTGTTGTAGGAATTAAACAAGCTCAGTTTTGGAGAGTGCTTATTAGCACAGTGCAGAGCACAAAGAAAGTCTTGACTGAATGTCAGCTTTGTACAATGAGCCTGGGGATGGAGCTGGCTTCATCATTTTTCCCCCTATGATGGCAGAGGCTACAGTGAAGGGTGGCCTTGGGCAGGGGGTAGAGACAGAGATGACAAATAGAAGCCTTCAGAATCATCAGAGAGCCATGAAGGAAGCATCCTGCTTTCCTTCCCTTCTGCCAAGGGTCCCGGCAGAGGCTCTTCCTCCTCTGCTTCCTGACCATGAATGTGCATTTGTGAAAAGATGAATCTCCATTCATTCCTTAGGGAGCTAAAAACAAGGACAAGAACCAGAAAGTTCAATGTCAAAGCCATGAAGGAGTTAGGCTAGCCACTGGGGTTTCTGGGACTGCCCGGCAGCTGGCTGACATTCTCTGCATGTTTCCTGCTGATGGGCCCTGGCTCCGTGCCAAGGATGGGACTTGGGTTTGTGCCCGGGCTGGGAGGGAAACAAATTAATGATGTCATTAGACTTGTCAGGAGCCTTAAATCTCCCGTGACACGTTTAAGTGCAGGATACACCATAGAATTTTGAAAAGGACATGTCAGGTCCCTGGGGTCTCCTAGAGTCATGAGTCCGAGGTGGGAGGATGAGATAGACAGGCCAGGCAGTGCTGGGGTGGGGCCGTGGGGAGTGACTCCAGTGTAGGCTCCCCTGGCCCACAACCAGGACAGGGTCAGGTGTGGTGGTCAAGTGCTCGGGTCTACTGACGTCACTGACCTCAAGGGCCTCATCCCTTCTCTTCAGTCCATCCATCCAACAGACACCTTCCATGAACTTCCATGGGTCTAGCCGTGTGTCAGGCTAGGGGTCCCAGAGCACCCTCAGATGGGATCTGTTTCCCTGGAAGAGGCTCACCGCCCAGTGAGGGAGTCACCGTGGGATCCATGCTTTGAGAGGGGTGTGGGCGCAGGGAAGAGGCACCTCCTGGATAACCGTGTGTCCGGCTTGGTCCAGGATGATCCGGTTTCATGGCTAAGGTAGACTCCCCATGCCTGGTAATTATTCTGACCCTTAATTGTATTTGACCTTTCACTCTCCAAAGTGATGAGTGTATGGCTGCTCACCACCTAACACAGGCTGGGGGCTCAGACAGGCTTCTTTTGCATCATTCTGTGGTTGTGGGGCATCGATGGTGCAAATGACCCAGGAGCTGTGGGTGGTTAGGGCATGAACCGTTTCCAGAGGTGAGATGGTGGGGTGGGGAGGCAAAGGAGATCAAGACTGAGATGCAGCTAGCGCCTGTCCCCCACCCTGGGCCCTGCCCCCGTCCTGCCCCAGCCTCTAGAGACCACTGGATCATCCTCTGCATGGTGGCCAGCGGCATCTTTCCGACCACATCCCTCTCCCACTTGAACTACAGGGCTTCTGCCCCTCAGCAGGCATTTTCACCCCCTGTCCCCTACAATCTGCCCCCTGCTCTGCAGATGGTTCCTCAGGACCCTACACTTTCCGCCCCCACCACCCAATCAGGCAGCCAGCCCCTCCCTTCGGCCCCACCTGGTAGACTCCATTTTCAAGCCTCGCTCCAACACCACTTCCTCCCTACCTACAAGCAGTGACTGCCCCCCTACAGACTGTGTGTCCTCAGCTCCCCACAGCTTTTGGGGTCTCCTGCAACAAAGGCAGCCCCATGTCACCCGGACCCCTTTTCCATCAGCACGTGGCCCTGGATTTAGCCTGGCTACCCCAATTCTAGGCTTCTCTGTGTCTGGGGGCAGGGCTGCCTAGTCCCTCCCTTGGGGGCTAGACTCTACCTGTGTACCCAGGGGTCCAGGGGAGTGCCTCCCAGTTTGCTATGCTAACCTGAGTGACCAGTCCAACGGCACCCCCTGTCTTGCTTCAAGGACAGGCACTGCCAGGGGACCCCCAGCACAGTTCACCTGTCAGAGACAAATCAGTGGTTCTGGACACAGGCTCAAAGTAAATCTGAGCTTGCTATCTCCTGAGGTCATCCCATTCTTCCCTCTCTCAGCTCCTTGTCAGCCATGGCCGCAGCAGGGCCCTGTCCCGCCCACCCCTGCCCCCAGCCCAGCTACTTCGTGCTCAGGCCACCCCGAGTGCTAACCAGGTCCCTGCAGCCGCGGAACTCGCCAGCCTTCCTCCCGGCAAATGACACAGGGTGGGGCTCTGGCACAGGGCTCTTGGACATGCAGATCGGAATCAGAGCTCTCAGAGTCCTGAGCCTCCTCTGCAGGCTCTCTACAACCTTCCTTTCACTGTCTCCACTGCACGGAGCATGACACACACCCACCTTTGCTCTCCTGGACAGCCATTCGCTGACACTCACTCTGCGCCAGCCCCTGCACTGGGCCTTGGGACCAAGGGAAACCAGGCACACCCTTGCTTCAGGGAGCTCTGGCTCTAGAGGGTGGTGTGCGCACACAGAACCTCTCGGCCCAGTCCCCGGCTACACCTCCAGCCCAAACTCACACCCCTGCTCCTGCTCTGTCTCGCCTCTGCTGGAACATTCCTCTACCTCCTCCCCGTGGCCAAGTTAGGTTCTTCCCTGACCTCTCACCTTGCAGGCATCCTTCCTTCTTACCCAGAGTCCATCTAAACTCTTGCTCCTGCCACAGGCTCCAGGGGCGCCCTCTACCCTCCCTTGGAGCAAGGATCACACTTGGGGGCCATATGGAATGTCCCCTTCTCTCCTGCCCGCCCCACGAGGGTGGCTCTCTCTGGCTGTCCTGTCCCCCACTGCCCCATATCCCTTTTCATAGCACTGGGCCTGGTATTTACAAATGATTTCATTCATTCATTCAGCAGCTATTTGCTGAGTCCTGCCCTGTGCCAGGCACTGGCCTAGTGAAGGAGAATATACTGGCGGACCAAACAGATGCAAATCCCTGGCCTCAGGGAGCTTACGCTGGAGTGGGGGAGACAAACAATAAATAATCACTTATCAGTGAATCAAAATATATAAGTTGGTGAGAAGACAACAAAGACCTTGGTGGGGGAGTGGAGCATAGTAAAGAGGCTGAGAGTGTGGGAGCGGGGGCCAGGCGGCAATTCTAGATCAGGGAGTTGGGGCCCACCTTGCTGAGATGATGATGTCTGAGTTAAGATGGGGGGATGAGCCAGGATGATACTTGGGGAAAGGGAAATGCGAAGGATGGCAAGGGGGCCCACAGAACAGCCCGGAGGCCCACAGAGCTTGAGCGGTGTGTGAGGGGAGAGCCGAGGGCATGGGGTGGGGGTGGGGGAAGCCCCGGGGCCCACACAGGTCATTAGAGAGACTTTGGCTTTTACACGGAGGAAAATGGGGATCCACTGCACTGTCTCTAGCAAGGAACGGCTCTTGAAAGAGTGGTTAAGCAAGTACCAGGACAGAAGGCACAGGGGGCCTCGAGGGGCCCGGGAGAATCGCTAACCCCATCCAGGGGTCAGGGAGGGCTTCTTGGAGGAAGTAACAATGGACCATGGCCCAGCAGGAGGAAAGGAGGAAGGAGGAGCCTAAACAGAGGCTCAGGGGCCTCAGTGGGCGGGTGGCATGGGGCACTGGTCTGTGGAACAAGGTCTACAGGCTGGGGCGCCTGGGCTGGGACAAGGTCAGCAGAGGGCAGGACACAGAAGGCCTCGAGTCCTGAGGGCGGTGTGGATACCTGGTGAAGTCACGCTCAGCCTCGCGGGGTGCTTCTCACACTCTAGCCCCCTTGTAGGTAATCTCTCCTCTAGGGCTTGACTCAAGGCAGATCGCCTCCAGCTGACTCAAGCCCAAGTGCTCACAGTGAACTTGCTTCCCCCGGCCTCTAATTTCACCGGATGCTGAACTGAACTTCTCAGAGGCCTCCCTGCTCTTACCAGGCTAAGCTTCTACCGCACAAGCCAGACTTGAGCGCTGCGCTTGGTAACTTGCAAACTGGACAGTTAAGGGGCGTGTGGGCTTGGGCAAGTCTCTTTGCTTCTTTGAGCCTCAGTGTCCCCATCTGTAAAATGGAATACCCACCCATCGGTCCTGCTTATCATGGCAGAGAGACGATTGCCTGCACCTGGCACACAGTAGGTGTCTAATACATGCTAAATGGGTTCATATGGGCCAGACTTTCGGAACTGGGGACCTAAAGGCTTTCTGGGTGGGAGGAGGGGAGCGTCACCTGGGATGTGTCATGGTTGAAGATGACAGCATTGAGATCCCCACAGTTGTAGTGTTTGATGAGGTCCTCTGTGGTGTAGGGTGCCTGCAGGCTCCCCGCCCGCACACTCTCATGCTGCAGCAGAGTCTGGTTCAGGGCAAACAGCACCTGCACAGAAGAAAGACAGAAGAATAAGGGCTGTCATTTTAGATCAGGCCAGGGACCTCCAGGCCCAGCCCTCCTTGCTTTGGATTTTGGGGCAACAGGCCCTGAAACAGGGAAGGTGTGTGGAGCCTGGCACGGGCAGGTGCAGCCTAAACTCTTCCCCAGGCCTCTGGACATGTTCAGCCTGTTCTCATCCCCAGCCTTTTGCCCACACAGGTCCCAGCTTCTGCTCTGGCTGTCAACATCTTACCTACCGATGGGGCAAAATGAGAATCTAGCTGTGTCTGGGGTTTGGAATGATGGGTGAGTTTGTCTCTCAACTAGATTTTTCTTATTCTTGTGCTTAGGAAAGTTCTAGAATGAGCACAGACTAATGGGGGTAATCAAGGGCGGGCAAACAACGCAAGACAAACACATGAACAAAACAAACAGGAAACCCACTTAGATGTCAGGGACCCACCCAAAGGCCACTTCTTCCAGAAGTTATCCCCACTCCAGGCAAAGGCCCAAGGAGCCAGGCTTCTCTGAATCTGACCCATGCTGGCACTGAAGCTCCTTGAGCTCTGGGCCGCTATGCGGAGCCCTGGGGACACAGCTGCAGCCTAGCTAGACTGGCCTGGCGTCAGGATCACGTGAAGCACCAGACAAAGCTATCCACCGCCCAGTCTCCATGCCCGGAACTGGCATCTCCGAGGGGGAGCCCAGGATGTGTAGTTTTCACAGGCTTCCTAGGAACGACATTAGGGGTCTGACTGCTTCTGCCATGAGGACCATGCTCTGATGGAACACGGCCTGTCCAAGAAGGCTCCAAGAGGCCATCTCAAATGTCCCATTTTAGATGGGGAAACTGAGGAAGGGACTGGAACTACCTTCATGTGACGGTGTATCCCAGACCCCTCTGGCCAAAAAAGGGAGGAGTGTAACCACGATCTGGGTTCTTTAGCACAGGTGTAGGGAAAGCTGCTGCAGTTCCTGGGCAGAAGGTCTGTTGGTTGTCTCAAGCTGTCTGTCCTTGCTGTCGCCCAGCCCCAGCCCGTCCTCTAGTCCTCAGGCCTAGAGCATGCTGTTTGTCCATTATCTGTTTGCCACCTCGGACCACAGTCCCCGGCCTGTCACCTCACCAGTTCAGTCCCCAGCATCTCCCGCTGGGCCCAGTGCAATCTGTCCCCCTCCCTGGAGACCCCTCCTCCTCCCTCCATCCCATAGTCATCTGCCACAGTCACTTTTTGAAAGCACAAATCTGATTGTCTCTCCCCCACCCTCTTTTTTTTTTTTTTCAAAACTTTCACAGGGACCTCCTGCCTTCAGAGTAAAGGCCTAGCTTCTCAGCAGAGCCTGCCAGGCAGTGACCTGGACCCTGCTGCGGTCGAGGACCTTGCTTCCTACTCAGCCCACGTGTTTCCAAACACCCAGCTACTCAGCACTCTCTTGTCTCATGGCGTCTTATATGCTGTTCTCTGTGCACAACAGCCTTCTCCCTCTGCTCTCCACTTGTAAACCCAGACTTGGCCGTCCAGGCTCTGCTCAAATATCTTCTCAGGAAAGCATCTCTGACCGCCTGGGGGCTGAGTCAGGCCCCTCCCGGAGGCCCCTGCAGTCTCCTTGCGTGGCAGACGGACACAACAGTGGCTCCAGACCTTAACCTGCCCGCGTATTCATGCCCTTGGCCACGGAGTTCTTTGGCTCCCTCCCATTCTGACATTGTGATGCTCGACTCTGGATATAAGCAACAAGGACATACAGAGGCTTGGAAAGCACCAGTGGCTGCTGCTGTCTCTTGCAGCTCCACAGCTCTGACAGCAGCCCATGCCAACCCACTGGGGGTTAGGCAGAGCCCAACTGCCTCAGTTGTCCCACCGAGGCCATTTCAGTCCAGCTGACAGAGAGCCGGCTCCCGGATGACACGAGTAGGGCCAGCTGAGCCACTGGGTCCGGACACCTGAGCAGACACCCAGTGCCGGAGCTGCCAAGCCCGCTGCGGCGATGGACAAGCGATCTGCCATGCTTCTGTCCCCCAACCCGGCGCGAACATGAGGTGGTGCCTGCCATTCAGCTCCCTGGCTCTCCCACTAGGCTCTGAGCTTCTTGAAGACAGGACTTGCATCCTACTCGTTTGTGTCTGCAGCTCTCAGCACAGGGCTGGTTAACGAGAGAATGTCGTTCCATCCTTTCCCTAGCACCTTAGTGCCACCTAGTGCCCCCTGCTGTGGTCCGTAGCTTCCGATTTCAAGGCTACTCAGTAAGCCCCTCAGACAAGATCTTGGAACTTTGGCACTCTGTCTGCAGTTGGGGGCTGCTGCTACCACGGGGCAGAAGCTCCCACCAGGGACATCAGCCACCTCATTCCAGAACACACGATCTGACCAGAAAAGCTCAAGTAATAAGGTACACAACGTACTGACGTGGGAAACGGGGCCAAGCATGCTGGAGAGATCCCCTCCGCCTGCCCCCTCCCACTTCTGATTCTGGCAGGCGGAGAGCCGGATAGCACTGGCGTGCAGCGGCCCAGGTTGCTCCCCGTCATGAGCTGGCTGGGGACGAGGTCAGACCCTACCTCCGGGCCTTCCCCAGGCTCTGGCGAGCGCCCTGACATTCAATCTGCGGCCACCTGGTGCACGGTGTCAATGGCAGCCTGGTCGATGGGACCCATCGCAGGAGGCAGCAGTCCTGTTGCTGTGCACGTCACTAAGGCAACAGGCACTTCCTTCCACACCTAACAGGCCTCGCATGAAAGCATCCATGTCAGGCTAGAAGGCTCCACTTCCCTGCGGGGCTGGGATCCACGGGCTCCCAAGACCACGCCCCACCCCGGCACATACCTGCCTGGGGTGAGGTCATCCATTCAGGTGCCCAGAAGCCCTGGCTGGAGGGGAAATGGCTTCCCTGGGCCTCCCCAGACCCATGGAGTCACTTGCACAGTCCTGTGGTTTTCGTGGAGCATGGATGTGTTCCAACGAGTTAAGCACGTTACCGTCTATATGGTGCAAAGAACAGTCCTGGCGTGGAGTGAGAGCTGGAGGAATGCTTGGTAAATAAAACTTGGAAGAAAATAGACTTGAACCTTCCCAGATTGGAGCTGGAAGGGCCCCTGTAGGTCATCTGCTCCAGCGGTTTTTTAAACCTTTTTTTTGGCCATAGAATCTTTTTTTATTGTTACTGTTTTCCAAAGGAAACTTACTTGGAACTCACTATGTGGAGTAGATAAAAGTGGAACTTTTCCCAATTGATGTGAGGAGACAACTAGAGCCTGAAGTCCTAGAGGCTCAACGCCCTCCTGCAACAGAGGCTCCCCTGGCTTTTTCGTGGAACCCATGGGTCTCCCGGAGCCCAGTTTGAGAACCACGATCTCATCCTGTGCCCTCATCATAGAGAAGAAGAAAGGAGACAGGGGCCCGAAGTGGTCAAGAGAGAGTTCACCCAAGCCCACACAGGGAAGCTGGGGGCAGAGCAGACTCAAAGCCAAGCCTGACACCCAGGCCAGGACCCTTTGTGGTGCCACAGATTGGGGCTGGATTTCAGGATGTTCACTGGCATGGCCCAAGTTCATCCCACATATGTTACCACACCTGTCTTCCTTTTGCAGCCTTGTGAAACAGCCCACAATAGCCACAGAGTATTTATTATTAGCGTTACAGAAAACTGAGAGCAGATCATTTAAGAGACATTCCCAGTGTGGTGGGGCTTGGACAGAAACTCACACTGATCATTCTGGACTCCCACGACCCCCAGGCAAAGTTTGGTGTCTTCCACAGACCTTCCCCACCTCCTTCCCCAGTCTTGGCACTTATCCCATAAAGTGTCTGTCTCAGGTGAGTCCCCATTCCCTGCCTGTGTAGACTGAGAGCTTGGTAAGGGCAGGGAGCCTGCCTCTTTGTTCAGTGGTCATGGCTGGAGAGCAGAGGTTTGGGAACTACTTTGGGAGGTGGACTGTTGACTGCCTGAGACCTGACTGTGATCAAATTATATGCTCTTCCCCCCCACCTCCCACCTCCTAGCCATCCTTTTCAACTCATGAAGAGGTCCTCATGGGTTTATTACTAGGGTCCCCATGTTTATGGAGCACTTACTCTGGGTCAGGCATCTTCTAAGCTCATATTAATTTATTTAAACTTTATAGCAACTTTAAGGTAAGTCTAGTATTAGCTCCAATTAATAGATTAAAAACCCCCAACCCTAGAGCAAAGACAGTACTCACCAAGGTGACAGAACTGGAGAGGGATGGGACATGCACTTGGGCTTGGGCAGGTCAGCCCTTGAATCCATCCTCCTATCAGCCCACTGCCCACTGGGTCCTCCCTCTGCCCTCCCTAGGGGACAGCTAGCAAAGAGCATGTCCTGATTCATAGACGGGAAACCAAAGAAGCAGAGGGGCCCAAGGCCACATGGCTTGCATGGGGCAGAGCTGGGCTTTGAATGATATCTGTCTGGCTCCAGAACAGGTTCCCATGACTGGAACTTCAAGACAATATGTGCTTCTTCGTGAGCATTCTTGGTGCTTCCGACAGATACAGGGAAGCTACACTTCTTCATTCATTCAACAAACAGTTACTTTTTGTGGATTCTCTGGATCTGGGGCTGGTGGATGAATTGGGCATGGTCTCCACCTCTGTGGAGCTCATTTCAGAGGCAGATATCCCAACTGACCGTGACAATAGAGGGTGGTAAGTGGGGCCCCCGAGGCCCCATGCACAGGCACGGAAGACCCTCGCCCTGATTTCTGCCTTCCTCCCACTCACCCTGAATTCCCAAGCCTGGCGCAGCTCACAGCCTCCTGGGCCTCCATGCTTTGTATCCCCGGCCACTTTAGAATAACAAACCCTCCTCGCCAAAGCCGCTGTGGCCCACTCTAGGATAATGTTTATGATAAAGCTTTGACATGGAATAACAAACACTGGGTAGAGGCTAGAGCCACTTTGCTTCCCCTGGATGACCGCGTGTGGAGGCCCAGCCACCGGGAGGACCTGAGCATCCCAGGGCTGCCCCCCTTACCGGGGCTGGCCCGT